TTTTTTTGTTGCAGTTGTTCAGCAGGCCCGGGCTGGATTTGAACCCACCACCCTCGGTGTATGTAGCTGGTGCTGTCACCACTGTGCTCCAGGTGCCAAGCTGGTGGCAAGATGTTCTAATTTTCCAAAAGAAATATTTTAGGTGACCTCTCCCGATTTTAATATGTTGATTCAATTGTTATTTTAAACATTGGGCAGTCAAATAAAACATAGCATCCTCCTAGAGCTCTAGGTGGGGCCAGCTAATAATTTGCATGGCCCAGTGCAAAATGAAAATGCAGGGTCCCTTGTTCAAAAGTCACAAACTTCGAGCTGGCAACAGCAGAATGTTGAACCAAGCACAAGTCCCTTCTGAGCATTAGGCCCTGTGCAAATCCCCAGGTTACTGGTGCATGAAGCCGGCTCTGCTTCTAACATGAGCACTTCCTAAGTCCTTATTGAATCAAATGGAAAGGAAGGGGAAAGGAAGGAAAATGAAAATAGACAGTGCTTTAATTTTCTTTTTTTTTCTGAGACAGAATCTCACTCTGGCATCCTAGGTAGAGTGCTGTGGTGTCATAGCTCACGGCAACCTCAAACTCCTGGGCTCAAGCGATCCTCTCGCCTCAGCCTCCCAAGTAGCTGGGACTACAGGTGCCCGCCACAATGCCCAGCTATTTTTTTAGAGACAGGGTCTCGCTCTGGCTCAGGCTGGTCTTGAACTCGTGAGATCAAGCAATCCACCTGCCTCGGCCACCCAGAGTGCTAGGATTACAGGCGTGAGCCACCGCCCCTGGCCAAGATGATGCTACTGTGATTCCCATTTTCCAGATGAAGAATTCACTTGGAGAAGTGAAGTCACTTGGTCCTTGATAATACTTGAGAGAACTAACACGGGGTAACCAGGGGTGAAGGAGAACAAGTGGAGAAAGTAAGAAAGAGCAAGGCGAGGGGAGGCAAAGCCATCGCAGAGCTGCCCCGCAGGCTGGGCTGCACTCAGGTCTCTGCCAAGACTGTGTGGAATCTGGGGAGGCCGCCGCACCCCAGAGAAGGGCCCATGGCATTTCTGAATCACGGTGCCATCCGCCCCGGGTTGGCTCCTCTTCGGCGATCCAATTACTAAATGTAGCCGCATTCTTTAAAAATGTCTTTCCTCTTATGTAATGCAATAGTGACAAACGCCAAACAGATGGTGCTGTGACAAGCTTTTTAAAAGTTGATTAGGAGCTCTCATCTTTCAAAATTAATGTATGAGCATTGAAACGAGCTTCAGCCGGCCACAAAACTCAATCAAGGATCCATATGGGACAAATCGCCTGACAGATTGGCCACACTCACCTCCTTGCTGGCCGGCATTTGACGTGAAGTCTAGGGAATGTTAACAGCACGGGGCAGGTTGACTGGGGAGAAACGATTCAGAAGATCCCTGGTTTGCAGAAATGCCTTCGGCCTCCCCAAAGCCCAGGAAGCTGGAGCCTCCCCAATCTATCTACCCTTGTTTCAAACTTTTACATTGTCTTCGAGAGAGCAGACTGTCTCTCCTTGCCTCCCAGAGGGAAGCGGGTTAGTCACAAACTATGTCAGATGCTGCCAGCGAGCTGTTTCCCCCTACACGCTCTTTCTTCCTCAGTGTTCAGGGATGAGATCATTTCATTCGGAGCCAATTATAGATGGAGAATGCCAGGGATGTGCAAAGAATCCTCCTCAGAGCCTTTCTCTCCCACCATCACAGGCTGTACCCTGCCAGGACGGGCAGGAACAGAAGGCCCGGTGTCCGGCCCCAGGTTCAATCCCAGGGTTTGCATTCCTAAGCCACAGCTTGGATCTGTTAAGCTAGGCGGGGGGCTGAGCTGTTGGCTGCATGGAGCTGTTGGCTGCATGGAGCCTGTTGGCTTTAGAAGTTCAGAGCTAGATGAGCCCTTAGAGATCATCACTGTTCAGATGGGGAAACTGAGGTTCGGATAAGGGAGATGGCTTGCTCCGGTTCCCAGAGTAAGTTGGTGGCAAAGCCAGATAGGTGGATATATATTCTCCACCTCCCACGAGGAGGATGCCTTTTGTCTGAAATGTGTGCAGCCCCTGTTCCTGCTGCTTCTGATACTACACCCTGAGATTTCCTAGGAGCATCATCCCTTCCCTACTCATAGTCCTTGGGGCTCATCCTCCCGCCAAGGATGGGCACCTGACCCAGCCCAGCCAATCAGAGCTGTCCACCCCCCACACTCCACCACCCTTGGTGTAGGAGTAGGAACCAGTGTGTGAGATGAGCCAGGCCAACAAGCAGCAACCTCAGGACTTTAGCAGAGGCTGAGGTCATTGGAAAGGAGACATTCTCTTCCCCCTTAGTGATGTTGAACTTGGGAGGAAGAAAGCCTAGCGCTGCTGGCAGCCATCTCTGACACCACAAGGTACCTGCTGAAGAATGAAGCCACAGCAGGGGACAGTGGGGTCAAAAGAAATCATACAACCCCTTTACTCTTTAAACACCTGGATCCAGCCATACCTGAAGGTAGACCTATTCTGAATATTTTAATTACATGAGTCAATAAATTCTCCTTCTTGCTAAAGTTGGTTGAGTTCTGTCACCCATCCCCCACAGGGCCTTGACTGATATAGGGACCTGAGGCCCTTAGGTGTAGAAGGTGTAAGACAACTCTCCAAAATATCACACTGAACACGCCCTTCCTCCAGCCCAACACATTTCTGATCTGGTTTTTCTTTTTAAGAATTGTCTAGACGGAGACACCTTCCCCCTTCCCCAGTAAATTCTCTGAGTCCCGCACAAGCTCCAGCTCCACACTCCAGACGGAGCATCCAAGGTAAATAAATGTCCCACGTCACGGTACCTAAGAGCTGGCACTGCCTTCTGGGTACCATGACCAGGCTGTTCCCCACCACAGCCTCTGCCTTCCTATGTAGTCAAGAGCACAGGCTCTGGAATCTAATCATGAGACCTTGGGCAAGTCCTTTGACTTCCCCAAGCCTCAGTCTCCTCATCTGTAAATGGGGGAAAGATCACCTACCTTATGGAGTCTTCAAGGGGATTGAAATGGGCACCACTATTTAGGGGCTGAAAAAATGGCAGTATAAGGGGACAACAAAAATTATACGCTATGGAGACTTGGTAAGTATCAGACACGGTCCACTTGGGAAGGGAGCACCTATGCACACATGGCAATTTCCACATAAAATGGCCTCCTGTCCTGTGGCCATTCAGAGGCAGAGGCAGAAATGTCAGCTGCCAGGAACTGGTCCTGGATTCAAGCCAGGCAGCTCCTTGCTGGCCTCCTGCTTCTCTTCCCCTTCCATTGCCCTTTGCCTGGCTCCGAACCCCAGGCCGGCCACACAGGTGCTGCCGAAATGCTCACCCAGTGACTCATTTGCACTCCCAGAGAGCAGGAACAGACAGTGATTCCCAGGAGCACCCAGAGTCCTGATTTAGGAAAGAGATCGAGTAGCAGTCACCTTTGGGCCGGTTCCTGCCCAGTTCCAAGGACAGCTGAAAAATAACCTCCCTCCCTCAGCCTGTGGCAGGGAAGCCCGGGAGCACCCTTAGAGCCAGTGGAGGGACTGAGCTGCAACTCCCCAGCAGAGTTCCTCATTCATTCCAGCAACGATTCCCAAAGTGCGGGGCGCACATCTGAGACGGTTTTACCCGAACCCAGGACGTGGCATTAAATCATAGACTCCAACACTGATTCCTACTGCAAGATGGAGGCACCTTGAAAACACGCTACTGAAGGAAATCAGCTCACCACCTGTGTGACTCCATTTCTGTGACAGGTCCAGAAGAGGCAAACCCATCAGAACAGAAAAAGATTAGTGGCTGCTAAGGGCTGGAGGGGTCAGAGGAATGAGGAGCGACTAGGAGTAAGCACAGGGTTTCTCTGAGAGCGGGACAAAATGCTCTAAAATTAGACCATGGTGATAGGCGTGCCATTTTTTGCACATACTAAAAAGGATTGAATTGCACACTTTCAATGGGTAAATGCTATGCTATGTGAATTAGCTGTTAAAAATATTAATAACAACTGACTCCTAAGGGGAGAAATTTAGGCTCCTTTCGAGTCTCTAATAATTTCCCTAATTTGTCAAAGAGCAAGTCTCCATTGGCCACTAGAGTGTCCTTACCATCCACGCTTGCTAACCTGTTTGAATAAGGAAATTGGGCTTCATGCTCAGTATCCTGGGCAGGCAACACCTAGCCAGACTTGCTTGGTTTCCATTGCATTTATTTCCCTGATTTTCTTCTTAGTATGGCACCTGATTAGTCATTTATATATTCTTTTTTATTCAACAAATATTTATTGAGTATTATTGTGAGTCAGGCACTATGTTAGGCCCAGAGACACACAGACCAAAACCCCTGCCGTTGCGGAGCTGACATACTAGTGTGGGGAACCAAAGCGGTAGTTGGAGCTCATGGTTCGAATCCCCACTCTGCCATGTGCTAGCTGTGCAACCTCGACCAAGTGGCCTAACCTCTCTGAGCCTCAATTTTCTCATTTGCAATATGGAGCTAATAATCCCACCTAACTCAGGATGCAGTAAGTCACTATGTGTAAAGCACCGAGACAGCGCGTGGCACTCTGCAGGTGCTTAATGTGTTTGCTATTCTTATTTATTTTCATTTGTAATTGTGATAAAATGTTTTCTGTTTAGTCGCACAGATTTAAGTGTCAGTTTCCTTTTAAAATAAATTTATTTAAGTAAAAACAAAATAGGGGGATAGGGAGTCAATTTTAAAAGTCAAATGTACAGTATGTAGAATGGAGCAAAGGCCAGAAGACTGTATTGAGATGAAATTTGGGAAGTCCTGGAGTGGAAGGCGGTATCAATAGGGCTGTGACTCAGCTGGCACTGAGCAGAAATATAAAGCTATTTTCAGTGTCAACATAACAACAAGGCTTCTTCCTTCAGTCTCAGAATTGCAGACTTCTCCCCACTCACTTGTCCTGTGGGCTTCCCTGGCATCTCCCAGGGCTTTGCAAAGAGGGCTCTGGACAGCTGGGGCACAGAGGCTAGATGAAGACGAAGCTGTGGACGGTGGGGCAGGAGCAATCCCGGAGTGGCCCCAGCCTCTCCCAGGTCCCTTGGCACCGGGGGTGGCCGGCTGCTTGCCACAGCAACAGCTTGTTCCTGCAAGAGACAGGGCTGGCTCAGTCAAATTACGACTTCCTGAGGTCCCAGGACACTTGCCTCTGTGGGTCCCTTCCTCCGTGGTTCTGACCGCCTTGTATGAAGATGAACATCAACCAGCCCGGATTCATTGTTAGCCATACGTTATTATGATGATGTAGATTTTTATTCTTCTGGTTTTAAAAAAAAATTAAAATTAAAGTGCTTTTATGGGACTTAATAGTGTGTGAGCACTGGGCCCTGATGGAGAAGTCAGCCTCGAGATGGCCACAGAGCCACCAACCCTCAAAGGCCACATGGGGCAATCAGAGTCAGTTCTGAGAGTCTGGGGAGGTGGTGCTATCGTGCCCCTGCTGGGCAAACTTAGGCAAGTTGGTTAACCTCTCTGTGCCACCTTCCCTTCCTCTTTGGGAGGCAACACAGTGGAGTGGCTAAGAACACAGATTCTGGGACCAAGTGGGGTTTGTGACCTAGCTCCCAGGAGCCTCCCTCTCCTCCGCAAGAAACAAGAGATCTCAATAATTTCCTCCTCTCTATGGTGTTGGGTGAGTTAAATGAGATACAGTGTACAGAGAATATAAAAATGATAATAATACTGGCTGGCAAACCATCTCAGCAACAAGAATAAACAACATCTAAAGCTACATAACCCTTGCAAACTTCATATTGAACAAAATTCCAAAGGGTATACCCTGCATTGTTTGTTCATGTAAAGTTAAGGGAAAAAATTAAACTATAGAATTTGGGAATCTTCACCAAGGTCAGTAACACCCTACAGGAAGCTCCAGGCTTCCTTTGTGGGGGAGGGGCTACAAGGGGGCCCCAGAGGGTCTGGGCCAGCCAGGTTCTGTTCCTTGCCTGGGCAGTGACTACTCAGGTGTGTCTCCTTCCTAAACATTTGTTAACCTGTTCATATATTTTCCAGCCAATTTTGTGTAGATATAATTCAAATTTTTTAAAAAATGCAAAATAAGGGCGGCGCCTGTGGCTCAAAGGAGTAGAGCGCTCTGGCCCCATATGCCAGAGGTGGCGGGTTCAAACCCGGCCCGGGCCAAAAACTGCAAAAAAAAAATCAAAATAACAATAAGAAACACTGAGTGAGTGTCTGTTATGTACCAGTCACGACTGGAAGCTTCTAAGCACAGCACCTGGCACCTGCTAGGTGCTTCACAAACCACAACACCCAAAGTTATAATTATTGCCACCACCACTACAGAAAATGGAGTTAATGTCCCTTGTCTCAAAAGGGCTTGTGAAGACTGACTGAGAATACACTGGTAAAGCATCTCATTGGCCCCCAGCACACTTTAGATGAGTGGCTCATCAAGGGAAGTGTTCCTTCTGCTTGTCCCAAACTCAGAGATACTTCTCAGGCTACGTCAACCCTCCTACAATCCCCAACTGACAAGCTAATCCCTCTCCAGGCCCATGCCCTTTGCATGCCCGCTCTCGCCAGCTGCCCACGGAAAGAATCCGGCTGGCGGTTCATCTCTGTCCTCGCTCTGATCCCCCTGCTCTGCCAAGTCCTTCCTGGTGAGCTCATGCCCCAATCAGAGCTTCCGTCACCTGTTCTGTGGCCCTGGCCGGGTGGGGAGTGTGTACAGATGCCTCTCTGTGACACAGGCCTGGCTCTCTTTTCCGTTCCTTCCCATCCCTGGTGGAAGACAGGGTTCTCTGAGACCCGCCTCTCAGTCTCGTGAAAGTGCCACGTTTCACATGCCGGAGTATTTGCGTCCACAGGGAAATTTGGCATTAATCAGAGGATGGATAAACTGAGGCTCTGAGAAATGAAGCCCCTATCCCAACGAATGAATCTCTAATGATGGAATCTCAGGGCTAGGACAGTACCTGGGAGGGAGGTTGGAGGGCAGTTGGCAGCAAGGGCCTCCCTACACTGGGATAATATGTTAATATTGTCAGAGACATTTATTTATTGGGCACTTCCTATGTAGGCTCATCACACCCATTCTGCCTCATTTTCGCAAAGCAGGTTTTATTACACCTATTCTACGGACGAGACAGGATGACAGCCGCTCCCATTACTAAGTATCTACAAAGGGTCAGGTGCTGAACAAAGGGCTTGAGATCCTCTCCACAATCCTATGTGGTGGGGATGAGCAGAGTCAGGGGGAGGCCCTGCCCAGAGTCACACAGCAGGTAAGGGACAGAGATTTGCCCAATTTGTGCGGCCCCAATGCCGCTTGTCCAGACACATCAGTTCCTATCACCCGCCCTACCTGGCATGCCCTTCTCGAGGCCTGCAGAAAGCAGGAGAGCTTCATTTTCAAAGGAAATGGTAGAAGAACTCCCTGGACAGACCCCAGAGAAAGCTTGTGTTCCCACGATAATCCCCAAGCGTTCAGTGGGAAGCAGTCTGGACTAGACTTGAGACTATGGCTTGGGGGTCTGACAGGTTTAGGATCATTTCTGCCTCTTGCTAGGTGTGCAACCCCAGGCACCCCTCTGCACCTCAGTCTCCTCATCTGGAAAGCAGAAACCCTAGAAGTATTTCAATGGCACACTGTGTGTTAGGGTGACTGTGCCTCCTTGCATGCCCTCTTGCCCTCATGTCCTTGTGCCACACTGGCCTCTCTTCTTCCTCAAATGCAGCAGGCACGTTCCACCTCAGGGCCTTTGCACTTGCCACATCCTCTGCCTGTAAGACCCTGCCCCTAGAGATCCACATGGCTCCCTCTCTCATGTCCTTCAGATCTCTGCTCAAATGTCACCTTCTTTGTGTCACCCTCCTTGACCTGGCTTTTAAAAATCACAACGCCCAGAACTTTGCCCTCACTCTGCTTTCTTTCCCCAACACTTATCCCTCCTCTGAAGAATCATAGATTTACTTGTCTGATGTCTGTCTCCTCACCATAGAACGCTCTCTCCATAAAAGGGGCCACAGTGCTTTGTTCACTGCAGTCTCCCAGAGCCCAGAACATTGCCCAGCACATGTTCAATAATATGTGCTCAACAAACACTGAACCAATGAATGAGTCTAAAAAGCTTAGCGTAATCCCCAGCTCCCAGTAAGCCCTAAATGTTAGCTATTCTTATAATTAGTATGTGAAGTGCTTTCTCAGATACCCTGCTCTTGTGGGAGCAGTCTAGGGGGCTGAAGTAAGTCAAATCTGGGCAAATCCTGCTGTGTGACCCTGACTAAGTCACACTCCCTCTCTAAGTTGGTTTCCCCACCTATAAAATGAGAGCAAGCAAACTCAGCTTTCAAGGACTTGCATTTATGATTAGATCGGTTCTCTTCTCTTGAGTGCTTTCTAGATGCCAGGAGCTGTGCTTTTGTACAATCTCACTTCACCCTCACCCCAGCCTCACGGGAGCACCTCTTAGTATCTGCATTTTCAGCTGAGGCACTTGGGAATCAGACAGGTTATGATTACACGGCTGGAAGTGGCAGGAGCTTGGCTTCTAGCTGGCTGATCTGCTCAGACATTGGACCAGGACCCTGCTGGGCTCTGCCCTGGCTAGGGGAAGGCATCTCTCCCCCCAGGGCACCATTTCAGGCAGCAGAGAAGTTCCTGGCTCTACAGTCACACCTACCCGTGCCCAAGTCCCACAGCTCACCCTCGGGCCCCTCCACCATCCCCGTAACAGCGCTGGCTCCTGGCATCCTGGGCAGGCCATTCACACTTCACGCAGACCATGTGGCCCTGGCTCAGATACCTTGTCCACTGGGCATGGCGAGCCTTCACCTGTCCACAGCTCCCTGGAATGAACCCCAACCGGAACTGGATACAGTACCTGAAGCCACATAGGAAGACACCAGCCCAAGCATTGGTGAGAGCTTATGGCCTGTCTGGCCCAGGTGGATACAATTTCTCCCTGATATAGAAGCCTTTGGGGCAACTCAATCCACATCAACGTGTTGATACAACAAGACTCAACTCCTGCTTTCTCAATATTGATGAGGGCTTACCATGTGCCAGGCAGGCTCTGCTCCACGCACTTTCTTCAAAAGACTATTTTATTTCTCCTTGGTCTCCAACTCCAGAAAAGCAGGAATTTTTTCCTTTGTTTTATTTGCTGGTGGATCCAACTCTTACAATTGTCCCTGGCTCGGTAAAAATTTGCTAAATAAATTATTTGATCCAAGGGAATAGGGAAACCCTAAAAGGAAGGTGTTGCCCCACCTTACAGACTAGGAAACTGAGGATGGGAGAGACAATTCACCCAGTGTCACACAACTAGTAAGTAACGTGCCTAAAATGGAATCAGTTAAATTGAAAAGAACCTAAATGGAGACTCTAAGCACTCCGTTACATTTTTCTCAAAAGATCCCATTTTATAGAAATTATTTAGCATGATAATTATTTAAAAGGGAAGCTCCCCAGTCTAGAGGGGGGAGAGCTCGCTTCTTATTCTGAAATATGATTCAATTTGCCAAAATTTTACCTCTGCCCAACTTTTTCTACAAATAGCAGTAAATAGCACCCCCTGCTGGAAGAGCCGCAGCTTTTCGAGGACGCGGGGATGACGCTGTGTGAAGCTGCTGCCCCCTGGCGGCTGCAGCCTCGGGGAGGCCCGAGGAGCGGACCGCGTGTTTCTTTCAGGGATACACCCCAAACCTGTTCCCAATCCTTTCCTCTCTGAGCTGCCCCATAACTCTTCAGGAGTCTGTCCCCCTACCAGAAAGCTGTGACAACTGGAAATTCTGTCTTCCCAACACACGTTCTGCTTCCCTCTTGGTGGTTTACTTAGGGAAAGCTTGCCCTCATCCTAGAAGGTTTTGGAGAGGCAGTGGCTCAGAGTACCCACTCCCAGCTCCCACACGTGCCGCTAGAGTCGGCAGAAGATCAGAGTTGACCAATCAGAGTTCCTCTATCTTCCTGGGCACAGTGATTGGCTCAGGGATGGGCCAAGGATCCAAGCAGGACCAATCAGGGTCTCTCTTCTGGAAATGATACTTGGAGACTAGAGAGAGGTCGCCTTTGGGGCTGCTTCTCCCCCACAATATCCCCAGGATGACCATCTTGGCCACTACAGGGACACAGCCTGATTGAGAATGAAACTGGTCCATGGAAAGAGGGAGGGAAATACAATGAGAGCAGATTCCAACAACATTCTGTGCACTCTTGTCGCAAGCCATGCTTGAAATAACAGTTTCAGAGCTTCCTTCCCAGTTATGTAAACCAATAATTCTCTTTCCCTTGAGCAGCTGGAGTTGAGTTTCTGTCACTTGCGATCAGAACAATCCTAATTTAGTTCTGTTCTTCTCCATTGCTGCTGACTTCGTTCAGACCTTATTCTTTCAATTGATGTTTACTGAGTACCTATCATGTACCAAGCATCACTGTAGAAGTTTAACCTCATCACCGCCATCCTCGACTTGCTGGTCTGTCTCACTCCCTGCAATCCACCCTTCATGAGGCAAGAGAGCTACCACCCTGATCCAAACCACCTTCACCTCTTGCCTGAACCTATGCAACTTCCTCCTCCTTGGTCTCCAGATTCTCCTCCTTTCTTTTCCACAATCTATTCTCTCTCCACACCGCACCCAAAGGGATCCTGTGAAAACCTAGGTCAGATCATGTTATGCTTCTGCTCGGAAGCTGCCATGACTCCCATGTCATGAGAGAAAGTGTCCAACTCCTTACTACAGCCGAAAGGCCTGTGATGTGCCGCCCATTTCCCACTCTCACCCTGCTCTCCAGATCCTCCAACATGCTAGGCATACCCTGCCTGGAAACCATTCTCTCTTTCAGACACCCTCGTCCCCTAGACAGCCTCCTCCAGATCTTAGTTCACAACTCACCTTCCCAGGGAGGATGTCCTTGACACTCTTACTTCCTTTCCTGCTTTATTTTTTTTCTTTGTTTTTATTATGGCCCTTAGCAGCATCTAACATGTTCTTTGTTGTATTCCTCCTCCTTCTAGATTGTCCATTCAATGAGGGCAAGTATTTCTGTCTCTTTTTTTGTTTCTTACTATAGCCCCAAGGCCTAGTACAGTGCCTGTCCCACTGCAGGCACTCAATAAATGTTGAAAGAATGAAGTGGAATGGAGACCAATTACTGAGGACTTTCAAATCCATATTAATGAGTTTAAAGAAGTAACCAAAGTGAGAGAGAGAGATGTAGAAAAGCAATTTCGTTCAAAAAAGAATATTCACAAACTTCAGTTTGACCTTGGGTTCACTGGCTTCCACATACCCTACTGCGGCCTGCTTCTTGGGAATACCTCACTTTTCCCGCTCTTTCCCATAGCTGCCTGTGGTTATCAGAGCAGGGACTATACGCCAAAGAAAAAAACAGAGTTAGGGAGGACAGCACCCCAGGCTGTGGCACCATGGGATACCAGGAGTGGGTACACCTAGCATCCAAGTCACTTACTCAACAGCCTGAATAAGACTGTGGGATCTCAAAAATGGGCAGGTGGTCCCTACTTTATAGTATTGGAAGGAGGATTTATCTCTAACATTCCAGGGCGTGGTGTATCATGGGCCTCAAAAACGGTTTTCAGGCTCGGCGCCTATAGCTCAACCGGCTAAGGCGCCAGCCACATACACCTAAGGTGGCGGGTTCGAATCCCCAGCCTGGACCCGCCAAACAACGACGACCGCAACCAAAAAATAGCCGGGCATTGTGGCAGGCGCCTGTGGTCCCAGCTACTTGGGAGGCAGAGGCAGGAGACTCACTTGAGCCCAGGAGTTGGAGGTTGCTGTGAGCTGTAATGCCACAGCACTCTGCCCAGGGGGACACCTTGAGGCTCTGTCTCAAAAAAAAAAAAAAAAAAAAAAAACAGTTTTCAAATGACTGATCTGGTGAATGAATGAGTGAATGATTAGGAAGAGTAGATAAGAACTTGGTGTGGTGGTGTGCACCTGTAGGCCCAACTACTTGGGAGACTGAGCCAGGAGGATCACTGGAGCCCAGGAGTTAGAGGCTGCAGTGAGCTATGATCACATCACTGCACTCCAGCCTGGGTGACAGAGTGAAACACTGTCTCTTAAAAAATAAAAAGAACTAAATGAATGGATATGGAGGGCTGAAATGATGGAAGAAAGAAAGAATGGATGGATGATACACAGACAAAAAAGAAGATAGGAAGATGGAAGAAACGGAGAGACAGGTGAGTAGAAGAGAAAGAGAGATGATGAATGGAAATCAGGATGGATAGTTAACAGGTGAATAGATGAAATATATGGATGGATGGGAAGACAGGATGGAAGGAGGGAGGGTGGATGGATGGATGGATGGATACGAATAGATGGATGGATCAATAAGTGAGTGAATGAAAAGATGGAAGGATGGAAGAAAGGAAGCAGGGGGGATACACTGGTGGATGACTAAATGAATAAATAAAATTACTCTACTGGGCCAACTTCCAAGTCTCTTTCTTTCTAGACCAGACAGAGAACATAGAGGAGGAGAATTGATAGTTCACAAGAGGTTGGTGATTCCTTAGGAAAATAAAAATACCATAGGAAGTCTCTACCCTTCCTATTCAGTGATTGAGCTGAATTAAAGATTTATTAATAGTGTTGAACTAATGCTTGTGACCTAGAGGAGGCCACAATGGGGCATCCCAGGCCCCTCTCCCTGCTTCTACCACAGGGACTGGACTGAGCCTTTGCCGTACACACCTGATTCCCAGCCTCTTTGCCCTTTTCTCTCCCTGTAGCTACAGTGCTTCAGTGCAGCCTACAGCAGTAAGGAGAGCCCCAGATAAGCCCAGGGTCTAGTCCCAGGCCTCCTCCCTTAGAGCTGAGTGACCTTGGTCAAGTTACTGCACCTCTCTGAGCTTCATTCTCCTCATCAGCAAAATGGGTATAATATTAGCAGCTGCCTCGTGGAGTTATTGTCAGAATTTAATAGGTGATATATGATTTGCATCTGGAACGTAATCCGTGCTCTACAAGCAGCAGCTGAATTACCTTCCTTGCTCACCATTCCAACTAGGAGGCCCTTGATCTTCATGACTGATCCCGCCAATCTGCTGTCAGCACCATCTCACTTGGATGTTTTAATGCTTGTCCCTTCACCACCGTATGGGAATATCAGCTGCAAAACAGTGGCCCACTGTGAAGCAGCTCACTGAGCACCTGCCTTGTATAGGAACCTTTACCAGCATCACCCATTCACATCAGTGACTAATCCAACCCTAATCCAATGGTAAAGGGAGGCCAACCTTACCATTCATATTCTACTGAAGGGAAAACTGAGGCTCAGCAAGGCTATGAAACTTGACCATGATCACATGACTGATGAGTGGTAGAATAGGAACCCCCAGAGCACCAGCTCCAATAAGCCTTCTTGTCTGTGTTGTTAATTGCTGTAACCTCTGACCCAGAACAGGTGGGGCAGATAGTGGACTCCAGGGCTACCAAAGATCCACTCCAGGGGTGAAATGAATATTGCACAGTGCCCCAGGCTTGGTCACCAGAGTATTCCACCCCGCCCTGGCCATACTGATTGGCTTAGCAGAGGCACATGACCCAGGCAAAGCTGATAAGACTTTATTCTAGGGCTCAGCGCCTGTGGCTCAAGTGCCTAAGGTGCCAGCCACATACACCTAAGGTGATGGGTTTGAATCCAGCCCGGGCCTGCCAAAACAACAATGATGGCTGCAACCAAAAAAAAATTTTAAAAAAAGCCTGGCGTTGTGGCAGGTGCCTGTGGTCCGAGCTACTTGGGAGGCTGAGGCAGGAGACTCACTTGAGTCCAGGAGTTGGAGGTTGCTTTGAGCTGTGATGCCACAGCACTCTACCCAGGGGGACAGCTTGAGGCTCTGTCTCAAAAAAAAAAAAAAAAAAGACTTTATTCTAGGATATTTGGGGAAGGAAGCCTTCTCTTCCAGCTGCTGAGCTGGTTGGAGAGAAGCCTAGATAACCTGCCTGAGAATTGGGGCCAAGGCAAGGAAAATAGAGCCGAGGGTGTGGAGATTCCCAGGCAACCTTTGACTGAGCTCCTGGATCCAGCCATGCCTGAATGAAGCCCCTGGTATTTTAGTCACATGAGCCATAAATTTTTGCTCAGGTCACCTTCACTCAAAGTCCTGACTGATTCACACAGGGAGAGGATTAGAAAGAAGACGCTGAGAAGCCTAGTGGAATTCAGGGCTTCTTAACTCATTCACAGAGTGGGAGGTGAGAGGATCATGGAAAGGCAGGCAAAGTCCCACCCAAACTCAGGCCCCACCAGGAGCTCACAGAGGGCCCTGCAGTCCAGCCAGACTGGTCTGGTCACCCATGGGGCCACCCTACTCATTACTCACGCAAGGACTGCTGGCACTCCACTCCCTGGCAGCTCCAGTACTCTACACAGCCAGCCCGCTCTTCCAGAGGGGGACAGGGGATACCCCCATTCCTCGGTTCCTGTAGGACGTGCCTCTGGCGAACACGGTAGGAGACCTGGCAGGGCTTGACACAGCGACTCCAGCCACTCCACTCGGCCACAACGCAAGAGACCGCTGGAAGAGAAGGGGGTGTCTTCAAACACAGCTTCTGCCGGCTTCAGCTGACTACTAGCCAGCTCTCCTCTACCATCCCCGTGAGTCGAATCCCCCAAAACACCTCACTGAGTGCTAGAACTCATGCAAATCCGAGTCCATGCAATGTGGCCTAGCTTCAGCTCTCTATGCCTCGGTTTCTTCTCTTATCAGATGACAGTGAGGATAGTGTGCACCTTTCAGGATTCAACCAGATAAGGCAGCGGTTCCCAACCTGTGGGTCGCGACCCCTTTGGGGGGGTCTCCTGCATATCAGATACTTACATTACAATTCATAACAGTAGCAGAATTACAGTTATGAAGTAGCGACGAAAATAATTTTATGGTTGGGGGTCACCACAACACGAGGAACTATATTAAAAGGCCGCGGTGTGAGGAAGGTTGAGAACCACTGAGATGAGGCATATTCAGCATTCAGCCCTGACACACAGCAGGTGCTTAATAAATACCAGCTTTTCCTCTGCAGCAGAGAAAATGAACCACAGCCACACTGTCAACAACCTGGAATAGAAAGAAGCCATTTGCAAAAGGATACGCACTCCACCATCATGCTACTCACATATACAGCTTCAAACCCTGCAACACGGTGCTGTAGTCATTAGATGCTCTTACAGGCATAGTAAATACGTGTACCTATGGTCCATCCTCATTATTTGCAGATTTTGTATTTGTTCACTCACCTAGTTGCTAAAATTATGAGTCACTCCTTGCAGCACTTTCGTAGTTATTCACAGACAAGTGCAGAGTGAAAATGTTGAGTCACTCCATGTGATGCTCACAGCTGAGGTCAACCTAGGGCCCTCTCTGCCTTCTTGTTCTGGCTTCAGACCAGAGGATGGAGACAGTGGGGACGGGAATTTGTAGTGGAAGAAGCTCTGACCCTGGGCCAGCTGGATGGGGTTTGAATCCCAGCTCTGGGCACCCATTAATGAGGTGCCCTCAGGTAAGCCACTTAACAATACTTTTTTTTTTTTTTTTTTTTTTTGCAGTTTTTGGCCAAGGTCAGGTTTGAACTCGCCACCTCTGGTATGTGGGGCTGGCGCCCTACTTCTTTGAGCCACAGGCACTACCCTTTAACACTTCTTTTTTCTTTCTTTTTTTTATTTTAATTTTTCGTTTTTTAGAGACAGGGTCTCACTCTGCTGCCCAGGCTGGAGTGCAGTGACACGATCATAGCTCACTGCAGCTTCAAACTCCTGGGCTTGAGGGATCTTCCCACTTCAGCTTCTCAAGTAGCTGAGACTACAGGTGCACACCATGCGCAGTTAGATGAGACACTTCATAACACTCTTTTGTAAAATAAACATAAATAAAATCAACCCTGATGAGTTGTTCTTAGGATTTAAGATTGTAATCTATGAGAGATTCATGTGTACATACTTCCCCTAGGAGCCATGGTTCAGTATTATAAATTGGGTGTTTGTGGCAACTAACTTTATAGAATGTAACTAGGCTGGACACAATAATTCCAGCACTTTGGGAGGTCGAGACAATTGGATCACTTGAGGCCAGGAGTTTGAGACCAACCTGGGCAACATAGCAAGACCCTGTCTCTACAAAAAGAATGTTTTTTTAAAAAATCAGCCAGACATGGTGGTACATGCCTTGTAGTCTCAACTACTCAAGAGCCTGAGGCAAGAATACCACCTGAGCCCAGGAGTTTGAGGCAGCAGTGAGTTGTGATCATGTCACTTGCACTCCAGTCTGCGCAACAGAGCAAGACTTTGTCTCTTAAAAAAATAATAATAACTACTGTGAATCACAAGAATATACTGTCCCGGATGTTCCAGATCACTCTCCACCCTTCTTTGTCCTGCTCTATGGTCTGGGAAGCCTGCGCAGCCAGGCCCCCTGACAGCCAGCAGAGTTGAGCCAGTGAGGACACCAGTAGATCAGAGGGTGGGAGAAGAGTGCAGCCAGGTCTAAGCCCCCCACTTGGGGGGACAGGAGGTCTTGGTTATGGATCCTGTCCTCACCAAGGTTCAATAACACCATGTCCTTCTGTACCCCTGTCCCTTGCCTCTGTGAATAGAGTCCATCTTAAACTCGCTTCCATTGTACTCTCCTACAGGTGCCATCTCTCACCTGCCAGGACCCCACCTCCCAATGGATTTGCATTATTTATTTATTTTTATTTTTATTTTAGAGATAGGGTTTTATTTGGTCACCCTTGGTGGAGTGCTGTGGCGTCACAATTCACAGCAACCTCCAGCTCTTGGGCTTAGCCCAGTGGGTCTCAACTGCTGTGACCCTTTAATACAGTTCCTGTGGGGTGCGACAGGGTTGAGAACCGCTGGCTTAGGTGATTCTCTTGCCTCAGCCTTCCGAGTAGCCGGGACTACAGGTGCCTGCCACAATGCCTGGCTATTTGTATTTGCATTACTGTCAAACCCACCTCACAGACGAGGAAACTTGGGCTTAAGAAGCAGAATCCCTAAATCAACACACACACACACACACATAAATCCTTCCAAGCATAGGAATTATAAACACCCAAATCAGCCTTGTAGTCATCTCTGAGGAGAGTGGGACAGGAGAGAGACACAGATGCTGGAGTGGCATTTGTCTTTATTTGTTGAGACAAAGTCTCACTCTGTCACCTTGGGTAGAGTGCCATGGCATCATCACAGTTAACAGCAACTTCAAACTTTGGGCTCAAGAGCTCTTCTTGCCTCAGTTTTTCTTTTTTTCTTTTTTTTTCTTTTTTAGTAGACACAGAGTCTCACTCTGGCTCAGGGTGATCTCGAACTCCTAAGCTCGAGCAATCCACCCTCCTCGCACCTCATCCTACCTCTCAGTGGCATTTGACAGAATTCATTTCTTAGTTTTTTGACCCCTTCTTAAAGGGTCACTGTATTATTCTCTCTGCATTCTGTAGGTCTGAAATAGTTCACCATAATAGAAGAAAGTAAGGACCTGGGGGTCCTCGTCCTTGAAGGGTTCCCTGTGCCTACCACAGGTGATATTTTCTGATGATGTCACCGCTAGGACTGTCCTGTTCACACCAGATCCCACGCACTTCCCAGCAACAGAATTTCTACGGACGTGCCAGCAAGTCTTGTCCGCGGCACAACACAAACATTTCCTGCACACACAGGTGGCGACCGCGGTCAGAATTAATTCACTCACTCCTCAAATATTTACCAACCATCCACTGCGGGCCCGGCACTGTCCCAGGTGCTGGAGACACAGCCGCGAACAAGGAAAAGTACTCACCAGCCGCCAGACGCTGTACTCCTTCAATAACACCAAAATGCGAGGGGGAAAAAGTGTGCGTGCTGGTGAGAAAAGGGGGTTATTGTGTTGTGAAAACAGACAGTGCTGCTTCCGGCACCTCAGAAAGTCACACATTCTTTGCATAAATCTCAGAGGTTTACAAAATGTTTTTCTTGGAGCAAACAGTCCTTCAACCTGCCCATCTTGGCAGAGTTGAAATGTTCAGAGGGAAGGAAGAAAGAGGGGAGGAAGAAGGGGGGATAAGCAAGGAAAATAAAAGAAATGAAGAGGAGGGCAGGAAGGGGGGAGGGGAGAAATCAAGTACGACAGCCGACGAATCCCCCGGTGCTGTCGCCATCCACCTAACAATCGCGGCAATCATGTCTCTCATCCAGAGTCGTGCAAGTCGCCTACGTGACTTAATTTAATCCTGGGCCCACTCAGCTTCCCTGGCCCCTGATAGCTAGTAGAGTTGAGCCAATGGGGGTACCAGCAGGGATAGGAGGGTGGGAGGAGAGTGCAGGCAAGTCTAGCCCCCCCACTTGGGGGGACAGGCGCCCTTGGTTATGGATCCCGTCCTAACCAGAGTCCAATGACACCATGTCCCTCTGTCCTCCTGTCCCTTAGGAGTGAATAGAATCCTCTTCCATTATACCCTTCTGTGTGTACCATCTCTCACCTGCCAGGACCCCCAACTCCCAATGTATTGGCACTGTTGTCAAACCCATCTCCCAGATGAGGCAACTGAGGCTTACAAGGCAAAATCCCTAAATCAAAACAGGGGTTTGGAGTCAGACAAACCTGGATGCAAACCACAGTCAGACAGGGTCGTTGCAATGGTGAAAGCAAAGTACTGAGCCTATCATAAGTTCTCAGTGCAGTGGGGGGTCTTTATGCATTCATTCAACACCTATTTGGGACCTACTGTGTGTAGAGCAGGATGCTGGGGACGTAAATGAGCAAAGTAGGTAGAGCCCCTGCCTGGAGGAGCAGTAGAGGGAACAGACAATATCAGTAACGTGATAACGTGGTTTCAACTAGTAACACATGTTATGAGAAACACAGCAGATGAACAGTGGCAAGGATCTGGTGACAAGAGACTATTTTATACAAGAGGACTCAGGGAAGGCCTTCATGACAAAGGACATCTGAGCAGAGACCCCCCAGGGAACAGATGGAGGGAGCCACTTAAGTATGTTGGGGGGAGTGTTCCAGGCACAGGGAGCAGGCAGTGCAAAAGTCCTGAGGCAAGGTCAAGGCTGGATGTGGAGGCGGTTGGTACAGCTGCAGCAAGATAAGCTGGCAGAGAATTAGGCAGGCGCCACCCTGCACACGCTCTACCCATGTTGCTGATATCTGTGGGATCACCAAGAAGCACACGTGGGAGAGGGAACAGACACCTCCTAGAGGCCCAGGGTGGCAAACGCGGTACAGCTGTGTGATGATTCACAGTGTGGCTGCCTCCTCCAGGAGAATGTCAGCACCCGGGAGACAGGGGCTTCGTTTGTCTCATTCCCTGCTACAGCCCATCGCTAAACCCAGTGCTGGGCACGCGGCGACTCAGTGCGTGAACACTGAGTGAGCCAATCTTGCCTTCACAACAACAAAGGAAAGACGACCACAGGCTGACATTGCAAAAAGGTGCCACCAGATAGCGGTGTTCTCAAAACAAATCCCGGCTCACTTTTCCTAAGCAGAGGGGCCATCTTAGCTTATCAGCCTAACAGGTGGGAGAGAAGCCCTGGAAAACGTGATAGCATCGAGCCAGCTGAGCCTTGCTGGGACCAGACTGAATTTCTCACTTCCCCCTTAGAATGGCTCTGCCCCACCCTGACAGGCCCAGGCTCATCAGGTAACGCCTTTCTGGACTCTCCCAACCCCACCTTCTCTGAACCTCACAGCCCAGCCCCTGACCACTCATTGTCTCCAAAAGGATTTTCTGGAATGCAGACCTGCCTGTCACCTGAAATCCCACAGTAGTGCCCATTCTCTTTTGAGATGGCTCATAAAAGGTATTTTTTGATAGTAGATCATAGATAGAGACCCCTCCCTCAAGCCTAGTGATTACAAATCTAGATTTTCCCACAACTCATCCGCTGTCATTTACTACCCCCTCTTCCTATTCAATATCTCAACGTCTTTTACTTTAAGTTTCTGGAAACAAACCAACCCTCCCCACTCTCAGTCCACATGGTTTGGAAGGGGCTGGCCTCAACCACTCCTTCGTGGCATGGGGCATGTGACCCAAACACGAACAGTTGACATGTTCCTTCTTCCAGGGCTCAGTGATAAACTGAATCAAGGATGAGCACTTGACCCAAAGTGAGCCTGTGATCAGCAGCCCTGAGATTTTTGGCCGGAACATCTGGGGAAAGGTGCTCTCATTCCACTAGAGATGCTAGTTTGAAGCTATTAGGCACTATCTTTGCTACCACTTGGTGACAGCATGCCTGAGAATGCTGATAACACAAGGAAAACTGAACAATGGAAAGAGATGGGCCCCTGATGACATCCTTGGCGCCCCTGGATCCAGCCATTCCTGAAGCTCCAGAATCCTTGGATTATTTTTCAGTTACCTAAATCAATACATCCCCTTGTTAGCTTAAGTCAATTTGTTATGTCACAACCTTGGAGAATACTGACTAATACAAAGAGCACGTGAGAGAAGAAATGGAAACATCGATCCTTACAGGGTTGAGATGAGAATTAATATTATAACATATTCAGCCAGGTTCAATGGCTTACACCTGTAATCCTAGCACTCTGGGAAACCAAAGTGGGTGGATTGCCTGAGCTCAGGAGTTCGAGACCAGCCTAAGCATCTCTACTAAAAATAGAAGGAATAAAAAACTAGCTAGTAGCCACGGTGGCAGCTACTCAGGAGGCTAAAGCAACAGGACTCCTCAAGCCCAGGAGTTTGAGGTTGCTGTGAGCTACGATACCATGACATTCTACCCAGGGCGACAGAGTGGGACTGTCTCAAAAAAAAAAAAAAAAGCTAATGTTTAAAAATATATATAAAATACTTAGAAACATTCAGTAGAACCTGGAAGATGCAATGGTGTCTGTCCTTTAAGGACTTTCTTGTCATTCCAGTCCCACCCTCTCCTGCCTCCACTTGAGCCTCACCAAATTATTTCCAAGCTTCATCTTGCTCAGGCTGAAATTTTTTTTTTCACAACTACTTTGTCTCCTAGAAAGCAGATTATAAGCCTGAGAAGCACCTTGCTTCCAGGCCCAGCTGCTCTTAGCTGAGCTGGGCACACAGCTGTTAGCCACCAGTTGCAACTGAACTGGTACAGGGAGATGTCAAGGGCTCCTTTTTCCCCTCTTCCCTCTCTTAACATGCTGAGTCTCTCCGACACTCCAGCAACCATAAAATACGGAGGACTGGAGCCAGATTGCTGTTTAGAAGCTGTGTGACACAGAGCAGGTCACTTAATCTCTCTGTGCCAGTGTTCCTCATCTATAAAATGGACATGGTAACACTATTCCATAGGGTTGTCGTAATTGTACCTTCCTGCACTTGGTAAGTATTTAGCAAATGTTAGGATTGTTATTTTGTGGGTCTTTTGTTTTTTAAGTCATTCTCAACATCTCTCTCTGCTACAATCCATTATTTAAGGCAGTTGGTTTTACTTCCGAAATCACTCATGAAAAAAGCAAGTATTTCTCTGCCTCCTGACTGGTCCCCACCTCAGCCTCCTGCTTGCTCCCCTGGGAAGTGGAAAAGTGAACTTTTTCCGGGGTCTATTCACAAGGAGTTTTGCCCAAGGCAGATAAAGGGGAAGATTCCAAAAGAGTAAGACAAAGAGGAGGGTAAAGCTTTGAGGCTCCCATGCTCACCAGCCCCAGCTCTTCATAGGAAGGAAACCACTGGGGAGCCGATAACATCGTGTGAGTCTGTGGGTCCAGCTGAGGCCGTGGGAAAGTATCATTGATCCCTTGGCCTGCTCCCTGTGTGTGGCGCTAACCGGAGGCCTCAGCCTCACTCTGCATATCCCCCTGGCTCTGCGCTCTCCACCCACAAAGCAGACAGGTACAAAAGCATTCCCAAAACAGCCAGCCCTTCCCCAAATTTAATCTAGAGTGAAGACACCCAGAAGTACTTTTTCATCTCACTGCTGTCTGAACTTCCACCACTTGCCACTCGTACTTGTAAGCAGCAAAAAGCTAGGAGACCTGGGATGAGACCCAGCTCTGCCACCGGCTGGACTGCCTAGGCTGGCCCAAGCCCATCCCTCTCTTGGGGTCCTGGCTTTTCTTATCTGGTAAACAGGGATATTATTGTATACTCGCCCCCTAGAGGATTATGAGAATGTATTTAGGTTCAATGGGACACCTAGCCCAGCACCCAGGCAAAGAATGGGAAATGGGTGTTACATCCTCCCTATTTTGAACTTTTTAAAAAGCATCCATTAGCTGGGCACGGTGGCTCACACCTGCAATCCTAGCACTCTGGGAGGCCGAGGAAGGTGGATTGCTTGAGCTTACAAGTTCGAGACCAGCCTGAGCAAAAGCAAGACGCTGTCTGTACTAAAAATAGAAAAACTGAGGCAAGAGGATCACTTGAGCCCAAGAGTTGGAGGTTGCTGTGAGCTATGACGCCACGACATTCTATCCAAGGTGACAGCTTGAGACTCTGTCTCAAAAAATAAATAATAAATAAATTAAAAGCACCCTCTCTCTCTTACAATAGAATAGAATAGAAATATATGTGTGTGTGTTATTATTTTAAAATTAAGATGGGAGGTCTCCCTATGTTTCTCAGGCTGCTCTTGAACTCTTGGCCTCAAGTGATCCTCCTGCCTTGGCCTCCCAATGTGCTTGTGAGCCGCCCCAGCCAGCCCTGTCTTTTAAACATAAATTCCTGAAGGACTCTCCAGTGGTAGTCCCTCAGGTAGAGGGCTACCCTGAGATCACTTCCCCCCTGACATTGGAGAGTTGGGCCATGTCCACTTTACAAGGGGACAGAGTTTAGATTGTTGTCTCCAGTGAGTACGAAAATTTTACTTCCAGTATTTAAAACCGACAGAGTCCTCCCCACTAATGACTCAACTAAAGCGGCCCCTAACTTCGAACCCTGTGGGCACTTCTCTGGAGGGGCCTTTACAAGGAATACTTGGATTTATCCAGTGGCCAGGGCTTATGAGGGGACCACAGGGGATCTTATTTAAATATTTATCAGGCCCCTGGGCCTCTGACCCACCTGCTGGAGTTTTAACCAATTTTAACCTCCTAGTTCGCCACCCCCTGGAATCACATGGCCCTGTGCCCGCCTCCATCCCTGAACCCCATGCCTCGCCCAGCCTCAGCCCTTCCCTAGCTTTGGTTCCCCACCACCCTCTCCTGCCTTGTGACCCATCCCTGCCACCCAAGGAGTGCACCTCCTCCTCCCTCACAGCCCTCCACGTCCCACGCCCATCACCCAACTAAGTGTACCAGATAAAATACAGGATGCCCAGACAGACAGGAATTCCACGACAGCCAATAATTTTTAACGTAAGTAGAAACAATAATTTTAATATATAAATATAAATTCAATATTTAGGACATACTTTTGTCCTTAAAAAGTATCATTGTTCAGCTAAAATTCAAATCTGAAGTTCTCATTTAACTGGGTTGGGGAGGGGGGTTGTTTTGTTTTTTGAGACGAGGTCTCTCTCTGTCGCTGGAGCTCCAGTACAGCGGACCTTTAATGTTCCCGGCAATCTCAAACTCTTGGGCTCAAGACATCCTCCTGGCGCAGCCTCTCAAGTAGCTTGGACTACAGGGGCCCATCCCCACCCACCTAATTTTTATTTTTTGTAAAGAGGAGGTCTCACTACATTGCCCAGGCTAGTCTCAAACTCCTAGGCTCAAGCAATCCAAAATTCTGGGATTACAGGTAAGAGCCACGGCACCAGGGTCTGTCCTGAATTTTTATTTACTAAAATAGTAAATAAAAGGCTAAATAAGAGGCTGACATGGGGACCAGTTAGGAGACAAGAAAATCTAACATTTACTAAACACCTACTCTCAACCCAGTCTCCCTCCCGCAAGCCCTCCAGTCTTCCTGAGCACTTCTTACCGCCTGCGTGCTCCTCGGTGCGTCGCCCTCCGGCTCTGGCACCCCTCCGTGTCCCACACGCCCATGTCCTGCCCTCCGCCGTGTCCTGCGCTCCGCCGTGTCCTGCGCCTGTGCCGAACCTCCCCAGTCGCGGCGCCCTCCAGGTTCCTCCCGCAGTCCTTGCAATGCCTTCTCCCAAACAGCCCACAATCTCCAGGGGGTCCCTCCATTCGAACCCTCAGGACTCCCAAGCACAGGTTCGTGCCCTGCGCATCTTTCTCCGCCCGCAACTCCAGAGCTCACTCTTCCCTCTCACTTACAGAGCGTCTGCGACGCTCCCTTGCCCGCGAGCCCCCATGTCCCGCCTACCCCACTCCCCACTCGCCCCTCTCCTCCCCGCCCCACCCTGCCCTCGGCTCGTGTGCCTTCTCGGATTCCAGAGCGCCCTAGGTGTCTCGGCACCCCCAGCCCGCACCGGCTTCCTTCTGCTCCGAGCCCTCGTCCTGTTCCCAGTTCTTCCCGGGCGCACCTGGGCAGACCCGCGTGTAGTCTGCGGGGCAGACCCGCGTGTAGTCTGCGCAGCAGTCCCGCGCCGCGCCGCACGCCTCATCACAGAAGCAGCGCGGTGGCCCGCGGGCGAAGCACATTGGGTCACGGTCTGGGCAGCAGCGACCCAGTTCGGCGCAACCCCGCCAGGGCGAGATCACGCCTGGAGGCCCCTGTTCCCAGGCCATCGCGTCCAGGACCAACGCCAGGGACAGGACCGGCACCGCGCCACGCGGGGCCATAGCCAGGCTCGGGCTAGGGACACGGACGCCAACGGGGACGATCCTATGTGGCCCGCCCTGAGTTGGGGCGGAGGCTCCAGGGCCCGACCCCTCCCCAGAGCCACCTCCTACCTGTTACCGAACTGACATTCCCGCTCCTTTGGTACTATTTAAATTTGGCACAGATCCTTGTGGCGATGAAATACCAAGATAATGATAATAATTACTGCAATAACTTTGCAGAGTTCCCATGGCCTCAGGGTTCCAAGATCGAGAAGATACAGAGGCCATCAAAGCAATGCACTATATTATGATAGAGAACAGTGGGGTATTGTTATGGCAATAATAACATTAGCAGCCCATATGCTGTGATGATTAATATGATAGCAATAATGCTGACAGTAACAGCCAATGTTATTAAAATAATAGTAGCCAGAACTGCCAAGTAAGACCATACAATATGCAATATATACATGTCATAGAATTCAATTTGTGCCCACTAAATCTATTAAAATTTAAAAATCTATATAAAAAGTAAGAATAATTGCCAGGAAGGAGGCAGAGAGCCAGGTTCTACATGTCACCAGTGTTGCCCAAACCTGAGTCCCTTGCATATCTTTTTTTTTTTTTTTTTTTTTTTTTGCCATATTCCTACAACCTTGACTATCATTTCCTGGATGATTCTCTTCAAATGGACTCACTTTTTTTTTTTTTTTGACAGAGTCTCACTCTGTTGCCCTCGGTAGAGTGCCATGGCATCATAGCTCAGAGCAACCTCAAATTCCTGGGTTTGAACAATCCTCTTGTCTCAGCCTCCTTAGCAGCTGGGACTATAGGCACCTGCCACACACCCAGCTATTTTTCTTTTCTTTTTTCTAGAGACAGAGTCTCACTTTATTGCCCTAGGTAGAGTGCCATGGTGTCACACAGCTCACAGCAACCTCCAACTCCTGGGCTTAGGTGATTCTCTTGCCTCAGCCTCCCATGTAGCTGGGACTACAGGCACCTGCCACAACGCCTGGCTATTTTTTTGTTGCAGTTCAGCTGGAGCAGGGTTTAGACCTGCCATCCTTGGTATATGGGGCCAGAGCCCTACTCACTGAGCCACAGACACCACCCCTACTTTTCTATTTTTAATAGAGATGGATCTTGCTTTTGCTTAGGCTGGTCTTGAACTCCTGAGCACAAGCAATCTACTTACCTCAGCCTCCCAGAGTGCTAGGATTACAGGCGAGAACCACACACCCAGGCTGGACTCAGTTTTTCAAACTTAAAAAGATTTATTCTTTTTTTTTTTTTTGAGACGGAGCCTCAAGCTGTCCCCCTGGGTAGAGTGCCATGGCATCACAGCTCACAGCAACGTCCAGCTCCTGGGCTCAAGCGAGTCTCCTGCCTCAGCCTCCCAAGTAGCTGGGACTACAGGTGCCTGCCACAATGCCTGGCCATTTTTTGGTTGCAGCCATCATTGTTGTTTGGCGGGCCTGGGCTGGGGATTCGAACCCGCCACCTTAGGTGTATGTGGCTGACACCTTAGCCGCTTGAGCCACAGGCACCAAACCAAAAGATTTATTCTTAAAAGAAAATTTATATGGTTCAAGTGAATGAGAAGACAATCTATAGACCAGAAGAAATTATTTGCAAAAGCCATCTGATAACGAATGGCTATCCAAAATATACAAAGAGCTTTTAAAACTCAATAACAAGAAAACAAAAGACCCCATTTTAAAATTGGACGGGCTGACTTGGCACCTGTGGCTCAAGTGGCTAAGGCACCAGCCACGTACACCTAAGGTGGCAGGTTCAAATCCAGCCCGGGGCCCACCAAACAACAATGATGGCTGCAACCAAAAAAAATAGCCGGGTGTTGTGGCGGGCGCCTGTGGTCCCAGCTACTTGGGAGGCTGAGGCAGGAGACTCGCTTGAGCCCAGGAGTTGGAGGTTGCTGTGAACTGTGATGCTACGGCACTCTACCCAGGGTGACAGCTTAAGGCTCTGTCTCAAAAAAAAATAAAATAAAATTGGGCAGGCTGAGTGCATCTGGCATTCATGTTCCTTAGTATTTACCCAAATGAGTTGAAATTTTACATCCACACAAAAATGGTTATAGTAGCTCTATTAATGATTTTCAAACCTTGGGAGAGACCAAAGTGTCCCCATATACTGAAGTAGGTGAATGGATAAATAAAATGTGGTAAATCCAGACAGCAGAATATTATTCAACACTGAAACGAAATGAGCTTCCAGGTGTGGTGGCCCACGCCTGTGACGCCAGCTATGCAGGAGGCCCAAGGTGGAAGGATTGACTACTTAAGCCCCGGAGTTGGAGTCTAGCTTAGGCAACATAGTGAGACCTCATCTCATTTTGAAAAATAAAATATATTTAATTTAGTCTAAAATGTTTTTTAAAATGAGCTATCAAACTATAAAAAAAATAGAAGAATCTTTAGTGCATAGTCTTACGTGAAAGAAGCCAGTCTAGAACAGCTACATACTGAATGATTTTAACTATTTGAAATTCTGGAAAAAGCAAAACCATGAAGATAGAAAAAGTAAAGTGGGTGCCTGAGGTTGGGGGAAGAGAGGGATGAATGGACAGAGCCCGGGGGATGTTTAGGGCAGTGAAAATATTCTACATGATATTATAATGGTAGATCCATGTCATTATACATTTGTCCAAACCCACAGAATGTAGGATATCAAGAGTGAACCATGGCTCAGCACCCGTGGCTCAAGCGGCTAAGGCACCAGCCACATACACCTAAGGTGGCGGGTTCGAATCCAGCCTGGACCCACCAAACAACAATGATGGCTGCAACCAAAAAATAGCTGGGCATTGTGGCAGGCGCCTGTAGTTCCAGCAACTTGGGAGGTGGAGGCAGGAGACTCGCTTGAGCCCAGGAGTTGGAGGTTGCTGTGAGCTGTAATGCCACGGCACTCTACCCAGGGGGACAGCTTGAGGCTCTGTCTCAAAAAAAAAAAAGAGTGAACCATAACGGAAACTATGGACTTTGGGTGATTATTATGTGTCAGTGCAAGTTCAATGATTGTAACAAATGTACCACTCTGATCAGGGGTGTTAACAGTGAAGGAAACCCGGGGCATGAGGGCATGTGGTGGGTATGTGAGAACTCTCTGCACTTTCTGCTCCCTTTTGCCTTGAACCTAAAACTTCTCCAAAAAATAAAGTCAAGGATGGGTGAGATGGTTCATGCCTATAATCCCAGCACTCTGGGAGGCCGAGGCGGGTGGATTGCTTGAGTTCAGGAGTTTGAGACCAGCCTCAGCAACAGCAAGACCCTGTCTCTACTAAAAATAAAAAAACTAGCCAAATGTAGTGGCTTATGCCTATAGTTCCAGCTACTTGGGAAGCTGAGGCAAGAGGATTGCTCAAGCCCAAGAGTTTTGAGGTTGCTCTGAGCTATGATGCTATAGCACTCTACCCAGAGCGAGACTCTGTCTCAAAAAACATTAAAAAATAAATTTTAAAGTCTATTTAAAAAAATAAAAGGAATGGGGGAAAAGAGATGTCACTACCATGAATGGAAAGCCAGGACTACCTTTCACAAATAAAAGGAAAAGGAAGGAATGGTAGAAAGACAGGCAGAGAAGCTCCAAGGATGATGCCGTAAGTGAGCCGAATCTTCGTGCATTGGAGCAAAAATCAATACAGAATGTCTAAAGCTGACAAACCAATGAGTGTCCACATAAGCACGTTACTTAGCTGTATCTATGGAAATAACAACTAGAAGAAAGAGCTACAAAGGCTAGAAGTTGTTGTCATGACAATCAAACATATGAAGACACTCAACTTCCTTATCATACATTCCAAACATAAGAGTACAGAGATAACATCTCTACCAATTCCATAACTCAGGTCAAAAGGATTGATTTTTTTTAATAGAATTGAGGAAGGTGTGAGAAAAGGGGCGCTTGAGTGTGAAATCAGCAAACAAGTACATCAGTGCCATTTCAGTTGTCAATATCGAACTTACAAAAGCACGAACCTTTTGACTTGGGAATCCTTACCGGTAGAGGCAGGAAAGTAGGAGTACAAGGTTATTTGTGCTCCACTAGAATATCAAAGGTTGACATCAACCTCAACGTCCCTCAGCAGGGACTGGTTAAGTGACTTATGGTCCATCCCTACCATGGAATATTATACAGCCTCCTCAAATAACACAGAAGTTATAAGCACACCAATATGAAAGACCTCTGAGATATGCTGTCCAGTGAGAAAGCAAGATACAGAATGATGGCTCTGCGCCTGTGGCTCAAGCGGCTAAGGCACCAGCCACATACACTTAAGGTGGCGGGTTCGAATCCAGCCCGGACCCACCAAACAACAATGATGGCTGCAACCAAAAAATAGCTGGGCATTGTGGTGGGCACCTGTGGTCCCAGCTACTTGGGAGGCTGAGGCAGGAGATTCGCTTGAGCCCAGGAGTTGGAGGTTGCTGTGAGCTGTGAAGCCACAGCACTCTACCCAGGGGGATAGCTTGAGGCTCT